CATTCTGAGTTCTATTTTATTTATTACGTAAATGTTATAAAATCCATTACAAATTTAATTTGAAGCAAATTATACAGTATTAGCCAAATCTATAGCCCCCCATTTAGATGTGATATTGTTTGCCACTTATGTTTAATCACAAGGTGTTACACTGTTCGTGCACTTTTTAAGTGACCTAGTACACGTCGTAGGGCTGGTCAAGTAATTAACGAAACTGCATTTAAAATTTTTGTAACACCCTCAAATTCTCGACTTATTCTTAAAAAACCTTTTTTACATGACTTTCCGCACTAAAAAATGGTCAGCTGTTAATTTGTACCCCATTTTAAGTTTTATAGTCTTTGGAAGGAAGAATGTTTGTACTATTTAAAGAATAAATAAGTTTTGTGAGCACATTGTAAATGTGTTGAAAGTTGTTGGAATAAGTCTGAAGTTAACACAAATTTTTATTATTTTATTTATTATTAAATTACAAAACAAAATAATCTCTTTCAGTCATTGCTTCGAAAAGAATGTGCAATTAAGAGTAAAGCTATGAATTTTCTTAAGATTTTTCAAAATCACTTCGATGTAATTTCACAGAAAAATTTTATCAGTTAAATTGGATTCATTTTGAGGTTTGAATAGTTCGTATAGAAATATTTGAATTTGTCTCTTAAAAAAAATTTAATAATTTCGTAATATTTTTATTGATTTTAATTTAGAATTAATGACTAAAAGATACTATTTTCTTTTGAAATTTTGGCAAACATATTAAGTGGGAAAAATAATAAAAATTGGTTTAAGTAAATTTCAAATTTATTCCACAAATTTTCCACATATTTACAATGCGCTCGCAAAACTTATTATTTCTTTAAAAATAAAAAAATATTCCTGTTAATTAAAGCAAGATAAATACTTAACATTGGTTAAAAATTAATTAATAATTATTTGAGCTGGTGATGGTTAAAATATCGATATTGTCGATAAAATAAAGAAATAACTTGGACGTTACACGATCAAGATCTTGGTTTCAAGTTGCAATGCACTCACACTTTTTTACTAACACACACACAGGTTTACAACTTGAACGTCCACTTGATATTAATTTTTACTTTCAAGTCTTGTAGCAACTTGAAAGTCAAGTCAAATAGCTGATTGATTTTTTTTCTACAAATGTACATACCTTTGCATATTCCGGTACATCTGCTTGTACCCAAACCTTCGTTTCGGTACACGGTACAAAACCAAAAGTTTCGGTACTGTACCGGATATTTAGGTACAGGTGGTCACCTTATGTATACTTATATGATCAGAACGTCGAGCTGAGTCGATTTAGCCATGTCCGTCTGTCCGTCTTTTTGTATGCAATCTAGTCTCCCAGTTTTGGAGATATTCGGATGAAATTTTGTAAGTGGGTGTATCTTTATAATTTACTAATTATTTGTCGGAACCGGAAAAATTGGACCACTATAACATATAGCTCCCATACAACTGATTGTTCTGATATGTTTTTTTTTTTATAACTCCTCCATTTATGCAGCTAGGAATATGAAATTTCGCACTATTTTCACGCATTTTCAATAGAATACTTGCAGTGAAAATGGCAAAAATCGGGTCTTTATAAACTATTGCCTCCATACAATTGATTATTCATATATATGGAGTTTTACTTCAAAACTCCTTTATTTGGACACCTTAAACTGAGAGCTATTTTCTAAGTAATCATACAAAGTCTACTGAGAAAATCGTTATGATCGGTGCTGTATTATCTATATGTCCTATGCCACTGATTGTTCAAATACTAGTTTGTGCGATATTACTTCTTTATTTAGGCAGCTAATCATATTCAATTGTGTTGCCGCTTTACATACCGATCACACGCAACAGTGAAAATCACTTAGATTGGTGCTAATATAAGATATATCTTCCATACCACTAAGAGGGATCGACTTGTCAAATAACGTTGAATTAACTACCCAAAGAATAAAGTAACATGATTTTTTTAAAGGGCGTCATTTTCGGGGTTTCCACATGAGCAATTTTAAAATTTTGAACCGGAATATAATTTCAGGCTGAACTCTGTTAACAAATGGAATGACCTGCAACTTGTGCGAATGCCAAGACACCATGGTGTTCAAGGAAATGAGCTGGCTTTTAAATTGGCGAACTGCGTTTGGCTGGAGCGTCCAATTGCACCGGAGAAAATTGTATGGCCAATCATAGCGAGAGCAAAAAATATCACACTGCTCTCTTTTTAATATATGTGTAATTACTGTGAACTATAAAAAATAAAGATGTGTATGTGTGTAGAAGAGTCTATTACTGCTTTTAACTTTTAGTTTTTTTAACACACCTATTTATTAGGTGCATAGACCATAATAAACAATTGCCGAGTTTATGTTAATAGAACTGAAATACATATTTAGCTTCAGTTGTATGCGGGCTTCTTTCAGTTATAGCTAACAAAAATTTCGCATAAATATGTGCATACATATGTATGTAACTCAGTTTGTAATCTTATCTACATAAAGCAGACTTGCACAAATATTTATAACAGAATACCATTTTCAGAAAATAATGTACATACAATATACAACATACATATACATACATAGTATACCAACAAACATATTAGATAACGTATGCAGTTATGAGAACTCAATATTTTTGTCGGTAAACTCTGAATTAAGCTCCGGAAATACCAACAATATTTTAATTGTTTTTTAGAAGCTTTTCAGTATTGTCGTCTGCCTCGGAAGGTTTTGGAAATTGCGATTGAAGTTTGGAATACCTTTCTCAAAAATCCGACTATACATACTATATTTTCTCTAAAGTCTCGGAGTAGTGTGGTTCTGATAAGAGTAACTACGAATAAAACTACTCGATATTTTCTTCTAGTACCTTTATGCCCGAATCGATCTCGTAAGTACTTAGGTGGGTATCGAGTACCTACGCGGTTAAGAATCGGATTTCGACAGACAGCGCGCTAAAGAGTGAAGTTGGCTAATGAAGAAACCGTCAATTATTGCTTCCCTTGTCGCACGGTGTAATCGATATAATAGAAGGCATGCTTGATATTCATCAAAATGATTAACTCCGTATAAAAATGGGAAAATTATAAAAAAAGATTGTAGCTAAAATAGCTAACTCGATTAAAAAAAGCTTAAAAAGTAGCTAATAGCTAAACAAAAATTTCTATAGCTAAACGTCGAAAATAACAGCTACAAAATAGCTGGTAACACTGGTCGCTATACGCAGCAGGGTTGCCTCAGAAAAACTTGCTTTCCTACCAAGAGCTGGTTCAAAAACCCACGAAAATGCTTATTTCTTCCCATTCCTTTTAATCAAGACAGAATTAAAAAAAATTTATTTTTACTTAAAATAAGATATCCAGTAAACAAAAAAAAAATCAGAATAATAGCTATCATATACATATAGCACACACAAAAAAGTGGTGTGTAATTTTAACCAGACCCACCTACCGACATGTATTTCGACTTTCAATATTTCGAGTAAATTGCGAACAACCGAAAAAGTGGCAAACAATTCGCAGTTTATTAGTTTTAATAAAGCCTTTGAGTAAATGACGTGAAAAATCGTAGCGGAAAATAAAATTCCGTCGTAGATTTTTTGCATACATATATAAATATATAAAGGTGAAAAGGTGCCAGTACCATATATTTTAATTTAGTTTGTGATGCAGAATGACAGATAATGCGAAACTACACCGATTTTTCGTTTCTCCTAAACAATTAAAAAAAATGGACTTGGCGCCTTTTCACCTTTAAGCAATGACATAAATATACATAAGTAAGGTGAAACTAAACCTAGGAGCCGCCGGGCTTGGGATAAAATCAGCGCGCTGCGGGTTTGACATAAATTCCTTCGAGTTGCGGTTAAAAACTTTGATATTCTTCGATTTATTGGAAATATGACTAACCACTTATTGGGAATATATATAACCACTTATTGGGTTATCTTTTTTGAATCGCTTTTCTAGTGCCATTTAAAATATTTTCACAATCTTTACATTGTTCAGACTATTATCGATTTGCAACGGCATTTTAAAGGAAAATATCTCATTTATAAAACTGCATTTACATCCATCAATTCAAAAACTTGATATTTAGATACGCAGTGAATACAACTTTTTATACGAATAAAGAGTTCAGAGAATTTCCGAAGGTAATTGGTAAAATTCTGCCTATACCAGTAAGCAACGAGGTTTTTAAATGAATGAGGGTAAAATTGATATTGTCAAAGTTTGGCAATCCTATTCATAGTGCTGACAAAGTGACACATTACAACAAGCCAGAAAGGTTTTCTGTTTTATGAGTAAAGAATCCTACCAAAATTTTAAGCGTCCTACCATCCTACCAACGAGAAAAAAAACTACAAATTTTGGTAGGAAAAGCAACCCTGATGCGCAGTTGCAATATCTTTAATATTCACACGGTTGCATGAGCTAATTATGTAATGTGGCAAACCCGTAATAACAAAATTAGATTCATTTCATTTTCAAGGCCTTACCATACGTCTCCGTAGAGCAAAAACTCTATTTATCTTGCCAAATAGAGCGTAGAGTTGTCGTAGAATTTTCGATTTTGTCTCAAGTCTCGCTTTTTTTTCTCTACCGTGTACACTTAGCTCAGAACCCTGTCTAATAAGAAATAAATTTCGTATCTTCCAAAAAATTTTGCAACTCTACTGTGTAAAATGTGTTTGACGCTACTGTTAACCCTGTAAAAGGGCATGTTTTTGCCTCTTTGTCCTTTCCTAGCTCACGCGTTTCATAATATTTTCATTTCAAGCAACCACCTGATTTTCAGGGAAAAGCTTCAAAGGGCCGAAAACGCAAAAAATTAACTTACTTTTTATTACTTAAAAAAAAAAAATCAACACGTGGTCACTTGTTTGAGTCACTGTACATATGTACATCCCATACTTGATTAATGTGTACTTTTAAATGTTTTATCACTAATTCACAAATTTTCTTTGATTAACTAATATAAATATTTTCAGGTATTAAACTACAAATTTGCGGATTCGCTGCTTGCCAATGGCGTGAGAAATATGGCCAAAAATTAGCGGTGCAAAAAATTAATCCTCGAATTAAACGAGTATACTTTGGACGCGAGGAATATATTGCATCTACAACATATCTTGTGGGCTCAGAACATGGTAGTAATTTCAATATGGATGCTGGCACTTATACCTACACATTCTCCTGTCCCATACCACCAAACTGTCCTTCATCCTTCGAAAGCACTTACGGACACATACGTTACCTCGCCAAAGTTACATTTATACGAAACGGCGCTGCCGATCGCGTACACAATGTAGGCTTCACAGTACTCAAATTGCTAGATTTAAATCAGGAGAGTAAAATGTTGAAGGTAATTAATAAAATTTCTCTTTATAAAAAAAGAAAAAACTAACGTTAACTCATTTGCATTTTCCAGTCGCCCGCCACCAACGATGCGCTCGAGAATGTCTGCTTCTTCCTATCCAAGGCGGTACACCTGAAAGTCGACCTCCAACAGACAGGCTATGTACCGGGCCAGTATGTGTTGGTCAGCGCTGATGTGGACAATCAATCGTCCGTAGACTGTAAAAAGCTTATTATAACGTTGAATTTACGCGCCACATACACTTCAGATACGCCAGCTTTGCGCACAGTTTCGGAGAAAATTTGTCTTGCGAAAAAAGTTTGCGGTCATGTGCCGCGTTACATGCGCAAAGCCTTCGCAGAAACTATACGCGTGCCAGCGACTGCGCCAACCTGTGAGCATATAAGCAAAGTTGTACGCGTCTCCTACGAGCTTTGTGTGCAAGCAATGATGAGTTCTGTGATGCGAAATCCGAAAACCGTTATACCAATAACTATTGGCAATGTGCCTTTAACGACAGCTGATGAGGAAGAATGGTTAGAGGAAGAGCGTGAAAGAGAAGATGTGCCAACAACATCTGCTGGACACGTTCGATCAACTAGAGAAATGGAAAGTGAAATTGGAGCGATAAGAGCAGTGAGCGAGGAAGATACAAGTGAAGCTGAGGAGGGAATTGATTTGCGTGAGTAAAATACAAACCTTAAGCACGTACATTCGTATGTACTTAAGCCATACCGATTTTTTTTACTAGTACTGCCTGAAATCAATTATTTGAAAAATACATTCGCAAGACTGGAATTTTTAAGAATATTCTGAGTCTATAGAAACCCACACAACGAGCTTGGAGCCTTTAAGACAAATGCCCATTGGTCGAAGTATCATAACTGCATAGTACTTCAGTAAGAAGTCCCGCGTTTATTTTTGGTAGCCTTAATAACTATAGTGTTCTTTGTGTTCTAATCAAGGTATCTACCGATTCTACCGAACCAATTTCAAAACCAAGAACACCATTGGAAGGTAATTTTCTGTAGTTGACAAGAGTTTTTATACTTTCGAAATCGGTTGGATATTACGACCGAAAGCGTTGTTTAAAAATTTGCATTTTTGTGTATAATTGCTGTTGCAACCTGTTCAATTTAAGACGAAAATAAAGATACAGACGAAAATGGAGGCAATGAGAAATACATAAGAATTAGGGTAACTGAATTGAAATTTTTCGATAGGAATCGAAATAAAATCAGCCATAGAAGTTACCGAAATTTATCGAATCATCTAAGTTTAAAATTATCGCAATTTATCCATGCTTGTTCTTCTTCTTCTTATTTGGCGCTGTAACCGCCTAATTGATTTTGGTCGAGTTCAACAAAGCACGCCAGTCGTTTCTTTTCTATGCCAGCTGGCACCAATTGGAGATGCCTCGTCTTTCCATCTCAGTGGGGGCCGTCCTCTTCCTCTGCTACCACCAGCGGGTTCCGAGTTGAATACTTTCAGAGCTGGAGCGTCGGTGTCCATTCGAACGACATGACCAAGCCAGCGGAGCCGCTGTATTTTAATTCGCTGCACTATGTCCATGTCATTGTAAAGTTCATACAGCTCATCGTTCCATCGTCTGCGGTACTCGTCGTCGCCAACGCGTAAAGCCCCGTAAATCTTCCGCAAAATCTTTCTCTCTAATACTCCAAGAGCCGCTTCATCGGATGTTGTCATTGTCCATGCTTCTGCGCCATATACCAGCACGGGCATGATGAGTGACTTATAGAGCGTGGTTTCCGTACGTCGAAAGAGAACTTTACTCCTGAGTGGCACTTGTTGGCAAGAATGGTTCAGCATTGGATTTCCATACTGATATTATTATCGGTGTTAATGCTGGTTCCCAAGTAAACGAAATTCTCTACTTTCTCGAAATTGTAACTGTCAACAGTGACGTGGGTGCCAAGGCGTGAATGTGCTGACTGTTTGTTTGATGACAGGAGATACTTAGTTCCTGAGCGGCTCAGTTCTGCAGCTCTTATTATCTTCTCCAACATCAGATTAAAGAAGTCACATGAAAGAGAATCGCCCTGTATGAAGCCCCGTTTGGTGGCTCGGAGGGGTCTTTCCCAATTCTAACGGAGCTGGTGGTATTGCTCGACGTCATTTTACACAGCCGTATCAGTTCGGCAACTCATTTAAGTGCTGTCGAAAGCGGCTTTAAAGTCGACAAATAGGTGGTGAGTGTCGGTTCTTTTCTCGCGGGTCATTTCCAAAATTTGGCGTATTGTGAATACCTGGTCTATGGCGGATTTCCCAGGCCTAAAACTACACTGATAAGGCCCAATCAGTTCACTGACGGTGGGCTTCAGGCTTTCACACAATACGCTCGATAAGACCTTTCAACCTATACTTGGCTGATTTCACGGTAGAGCTCACTTAAATTCCAGTCGTCGGGCATGCGATCATGTGACCATATTCTGCATAAGAGTTGATGCATGCACCTTATCAACTCCTCAACACCGTACTTGAATAGCTCAACTTTGTAAGTTTTTCAGCCGCGTTATTGCTATTCGTACCTCGTCATGGTTAGGCGGAGGAACATCGACTCCGTCATCCTCGACTGGAGGCTCGGGTTATTCTTCTTCACAACTTTTCGTCCTGCTACCACCCAGTAGTGTGGAAAAGTGTTCCCTCCATAATTTAAGTACGTTCTGAACGTCGGTAACTAGGTCGCCATTGTTGTTCTTACAGGAGTGCGCCCCGGTCTTGAAACCTTCCGTAAGACGCCTAACTTTCTGCTAAAAAATTTCGGGCCTTCATCCTATCGGCCAACATTTCAAGATCTTCGCACTCACACACAGAAATTGAGTTTACGGATAGTTATCGAGCTTTAAAAATTTCTGGGATTATCGAAATTTGTCATGTTAAAGAAAGTTTTCGAGATTTATTGAATTATCAATTAATTTGTCGTGTTATCGTAATGCATGGAGTTCTTCCAACTTACACAGTTATCGATAATTATTGATCTACTGAAATCGGCTGATTCATTGAATCGAGGTTAATGGAGTTTTAAACTATATCGACTTATCGAAAGATAAGCTTATCGAGTTATCACTGCTTATCGAATTTTATCGTGTTAACAGAGTGTAACGATTAATCGAAATTTTTCGATAGCTTTCGAAAAATTAGGAGCTGTTAAAACTAAAAATTTATAAAGTTGTACAAAGAATTAACATTTTTGAGTTATTGAAATTTATCGCGCCCTCGAATTTCCTAGTTATTGAAATTGGTCTAGTTAACGAATTTTGTTGAGTTATCGGATTTTAGTGTTTTTGAAATTAATCGAATTATAGATATGTTTCAAATCATTGAAATTTATCGATAAACTGGAATGTATCGGGTCAATTCTAAGTCCTGCCGAAGTCCTCCAAAGATAAAAAAAAGTTAAGTCACGTTTTAGTTCCAAAGCAGAAGGTTTACCGGTAAGTTACTTTGCACCGTATACGTTTTGCTACGTGTTAAGTTAGAAGACCCCTCCAAGGCTCCTAAAAACTGTAAAAACTATCGACGAAAAACGTTGATAAATAACTAGACAATTTTTGGCCTTTTTTGATTTTTAAGAAGCCTGTGACGAACCATTGTCTAAAACTTTGGGGTGATGTGAAAGCGTAAAAAACGTTGCATGAGTGAGGACTTTTTAAAGATAGGATATACATTGGTAAAGCGAAATTGTTCTAAACAAGGAAGCGATGCATTTTTAATCCGAAATGACTTTTTTAAATTTTCCCTATTCTCGGTATTATTGCAATGTCTACCAAATGAAACGTGATAATTTTTACCTTTCGGTTCCGTTAGAATATATTTTGAAAGAAGCCGTTGCTACCTTAATTTTTTTTAATGAAAATTTTACATAAATATGCAAATTTCGCAATAATTCAATATACAATATACTTGCTTACTTTTTACAAATAAATGTTTTATTTTACTTTTTTTCAATATATTTTTCAGCTCCACCCACCTATGAGGAGGCGATGTTCATGAGTACCA